ACAAAAAAAATTATAATTGCATTTTTAATAATAATAAAAAAATAAATAAAAAAAATCTGTATTTGTCAAAACTGCTATGCAGTCAGTCATGCACACACTGAATAAGCTGACAATGTTGATAAATGTTTGAAAGCGAAGCAAAATTGGGAAAACATGCAAAAATCATGTTTTGCTTAAACCACTTATGCTGTTGCTTCAATAAATCAGCTTTTATGGTATTTACATGACCTTATACTTATAACCAACTTATTAAAGTCAACTTTAATTGTATTCACATCCCATTTGACTTCAATTATGTGACACATGTTCGAGAGAAACGGGACATTTAAGCAGAAAAATTTAGTTTGGGCATCGATTCCAGAATAAAGCCAGACAAAATGAGTCTTTCTCACTCCATGGTCTGTTTCTCTCTCTTCAGGTCTCTTCTCCATGTATTTTCACATGACTCTGAGTTTTATGGGCCAGATGCTGGATGAGCTGTCAATCCTGTGGGTTTTGGCTATTGGCTACTCCCTGTGGTTCCCACACAGACACTTCCCCTCTTTTATTAAGGACAGGTAACAAATTCATATTTTTCAGACCATGTTTATGGTCTGTTTCTATGTAATGGCATGAACTTGTCTTCCTCCTCTAAAACACTGTGTCTTCAGTTCTAAAAATAGGAGCAAATAAAGGATCCATTTACAGTCTTTAGTTTAACAGCAACACTAACTTGCAGCATGATATTCTGATCTCACTGTGGGAGAGATGATTTCCACAGCTTTCTCAGTGGGGTCCAACCAGCCTTATGTTAATATTTAAAATGATTGAAATCTATATGAAACAAAGTTTTAGACTTACAAAAATGTTTATGTCTACTGTCTTGTGGCTTAAAATGTTGGGGGTCAGTATTTTTTTTAATAACAATTAATAGTTCATTATATTTAGAGACATTTATAATAGCATTAAAATATATTTTAAATCAATGTGGTTCTTTTGAACGTTCTCATCATTAAACAATCTTGAAAAAATTAATTACTGTTTCCACTAAAATATTAAGCAGCAACTGTTTTCAACATTGATAATAATAAGAAATGTTTCTTGAGCAGCAAATCAGCATTTGCTGACACTGAAGACTGGAGTAATGGCTGCAGAAAATTCAGCTTTGCCATCACAGGAATAAATTACATTTCAATATAGATTCAAATTCAAAAAGTTATTTTAAATTGTAATAATATTTCACAATAATACTGTTTACTTCTTTTTGATGAAATAAATGCAGCCTTGGTGAGCATTTAAATGGCTGTCAATGAAGAAGGATCCTTTTCTAGACTGTCCCCAGTCTAAAGTTTGGTCTCTCTTCCTCTGTTTTGTTCTTTTTCAGGAGATCGTTCTCTCATATGGTCCTGATCATCACTGTTATAAGCACTCTGTCTTCTTTTGTCAAACCTACAGCTAATGCCTATGCTCTCAACTGCTTCGCCATCCATATCCTCTACTCTCTGTTTGTGGAATTAAGGAGGTAAAGGATGTACATTCATCGCTTCAGGCTTTTTCAGATGTTGTTTTAGTCACTATTTACCCACTTTTAAACTATAAATGCTACTATACAAGATCTGTTTTTATTTCTTGTTTTGCTTGTTTTCACTCTCATTCAACACTGAACTATTTCTCAACAGTTGCACAGATGAGAGAGTGCTGCGTCTGGCCTGGGCGTCCATTGGCCTGTGGGTTCTGGCTATCTCCTGCTGGATTAGCGATCGCTTTGGCTGCAGCTTCTGGCAGAAACTGGACTTCTGTTATCTGCACGGTATCTGGTGAGTGAGCCATGATATCCCGCTGTATGTTGAGCACATTTGAACCCTGAAGCCTACAAAAAATTTTTTGATAAGCAAAATTCTTAGACCTCTAAATTATCAGCATGATCATTACTTTGCTGAAAATCGATAGTTTATACTTTTTTAGCAATTAAAAGGCCTTTTAGCATAATTATATCTATCTATCTACTGTTTCTATATATACATGCATACATACATACATATATATATACTATATATATATATACACATATATATATATATATATATATATATATATACATACATACATACATACAGTTTATAAAATCATCAAATATTATCCCACAGGCCTATAAGGAATGTTTGTGTGCATCTCTCAGTCATCATTATATTGCATTGCTTTATGTTTTGCCCCTACAATAAAAACTACAGAGCTTATCATATAACTAAGAATTTAAATATCTTACTAAGACATATTATTGGGAGATTTAGAGTGACAACTGATATTTAAATGCATTTAAGTAGGCCTAGCCTGCTATACATTTATAAAGATGTAATCATACTTTTTGGCCATGTAAATCTTAGCAATTGCGCCAAATTGCATATTTTTGGACCTCAGAATAAAACTGAAGTGTTTTTTTTCCTTCTCTAGTGTGAGCTGTATATTCTCTATATCATACTAAATGAGTCATAAAAAACACATATGCAAACATTTGTGTGTGTGAGTGTGTTTCGTTTAAAGGTTCAATAAACAGTTAAATTGAAAAAAAAATTTCTGACTATTATTTTATATGGATTTTTATTATTATATCTGATTTTACAGGGTTAAACCACATTGTTCAGAGTTTTGGACTGTCATGCTTATCCAGATACTGTTTTTCCTCTACCCCTCCATTCAGGCACATTCTGATTGTGGTGGCCACCGCTTATGGTAACACTTTGATCGCTTACCTGGACGCTAGTCTGGAAATCCCTTATTCCCTACCCGACCTGCAGTACTGGCCACAGAATAAATGGTCCATTGGGTTTCCTTACATAGTCCTCAAAGGCACTACAAAGACACGGAAGAGATGCTAGCAGGCACGACAAGACGAACAAACACAAGATGAACAAACCTCATATTTAAAGTTTGATTTAACGCTGATTTAGGACCAGCCTTTACATTTCCAAAATGGTGAATATATTTATATGGGCAGGAAGAAGCTGATCCTAGATCATTACCCTGAGCCACTGTACGTTATGTGAACACTGAAGAGAAATTAGTTATATGAAACAAATGTTGTGCTGAATTTGTTGCAGTTTCTGGAACTTTCTCCACATTTCTCACAGAACCTGAAACTGATGTGTGTGTGTGTGTGTGTGTGTGTGTGTGTGTGTGTGTGTGTGTGTGTGAGAATGTTTCTATGCAAGTGACTTCATATTCTCATCTTTACAAACAACATGCTGTTATGTGAAAATTAATATTTGGTCTGTTGTGACAAGATTGAATGTATGTACAAAACATTCTCCATTTTACTTGATTTACTTAATACGAATCAGAGGCTTTTTATGACAATTGACTGAGAAAATTGTCATAAGCAACTACTCGATTCATGAGTGAAACTTGAATACTAATTGTAAAAGAAAATGTAAAAATGTTAGATTAATAGTCTGTTCAGAGGAAGAAAATCATGCTGCCTGTTCGATGTGAGATGTCACTTTCTGAAATGATTTTCTCACAGCAAATGGTGCAAACGTTTGTTTACAAATGTAATAACTGGAATGATGTATTTTGGTGTGGCATTTTTAAATGTTATTTTACTGTAAGTTTCGTTAAAAATATTCTATATATATTGTTTTAACTTCTACCCTTCACCTCAGTGTATGAAATTATGTATATTGATAATGGTGTACTGTTCAATGGCATCACTGTGGAAAATACTTATGTTACATGATGGAAACTAATGATGATTTGTGGATATTTTTATATAAATTATGATTGCTTGGACATTCATTTGGTGTGATTTATTTAAGGGTTTGAAATGTTGCCATTTAAAAGAATTTAAAAAAAAAACACCATGAGATACACACCAAAATAAAAGTAAAAAACTATCAAAAGACTAAACTTACGATGCTGCTGCTTGTTGTGTGCTTTATGTAGAAAACTGGTTCAACTCCAGGTTATAGATACTTTCTGTTCTTTCTGACACAGCGACATCAAGTGTACATACTAGGTGTAGTGCATGCAGTTGAGCTGCTTCATCAACTGCAACAATTTATTCAGCCTATATCTATTCAGTTGTTATGTGAAGTTTGACAAGTGGTTCGACTTATGATTTAAAGCAATAATAATAATAATTGTAGTTCTCTTGGTATATTAGTGTAAGGGATGTTCACTTATTGTAACTACCTTAGTATACACTACAAAAAACCCTTTCTTGACAATAATTTGACCTATTGTTTTCTTTCTCAAGAAAGTTTTACTACAACTTTTTTGTGAATTATGTCCTCCAAATTAAAATTCTAATATCATGACATTTTAATTTCGTGTATTTTATAATTGTTTTACTCTTTAAATTTCGCTAAAAAGCCTATAATAGGCTGTTCAGGGTTCCATTGTGACAACTTACCCCATATAGTGTGACAACATGCCCCGCTATTGGTTTAACATGTGTTAAATCATCTCTATTTAGCAATAACGGTGGAAATGTGAATAGGCTAACTTTATTGTAGCCAAGACCTTATTAGTACCTATAACGTTACAGAAAAAAATGCTCTATGTTCTAAAGTAAAAAGTGTGACAACTAGCCCCAGTCTGCCATGTATTAAATTAGTCCCTTCAAATGGCAAGTAAAATCATTCACTAAGTATTAATTATTTATTGTAATCCCACTAATTAAACATAAAATAGAGGCATGCCCTCAACCGACCAATCACAACACAGATGTGTGCAACATGCTTTGTTTTCAAATACGAAACTGAATATGATTCAGATAAAAATAACAGAATGCTAAGGAGCGCTACTAGACTGCAAAAAAAAAAAAAACATCCTATCGCTTCGTCTAATCTCTAATTATTAGCTACCAGTACAGGCAGCCCGTGGGAAGTCCCGCCCACCGCGTTACGCGATTGGCTGGCCGGTGTAAAGCACATCCTAGACGGCATCTGATTGGCCACAAGCGCTTTCAGTTTTGGGTACATGCCAGAGGTCCGGAGAGGGGAGGGGAACCGTCTAGTTTCCGGTTTTGGGCTGGAATTGACACACAATGAGGAGTCGGGAGCAGCCGCTTAAAAGCCTTCTGTAAATAAACAGGACCTTCATCAGGCCGGCGAACTATGGAGAATCAGGTAGAGTATGAAACGCTTTTGCTGTTGCATGGAGTGAAGTCAACTTTTGTAAGCGCGCGCTTAGAGAAATCCACCATTGCAACTGAATGTGGACACTTAAAGCTCGTGAAAGCAGCGGATCGGACCCATATAACCCCCTCCCTCCTCTCAGCTATCTGACTCGAGCTGGCCACGCATATTAAAGCTACATCGGTATTTGGCGACATCAGCTCAGCCTAAAGGGCTGGATGCGTGCGCCAGCTTTTGCTGTAGGCAAGTCGTACATACACCAGCAGAAACACAAAGGAGAGTGTTTTTGTCCTGTGATTCTGTGGACCGGGAGTCACTACAGTCTGCGGCTTTTATTAGAGGAAGTGAGGAACATGCATTTTCATGCACTAGTGTTCCTGACAGCATACAGACTGAAGGCTGAGGGCATTGCACAGGTCTGCTCTGAGGGTGGGGGGTTCCTGATGGGCTCCTGTCTTCTGTCTTCTTCCAAGGCTAATTAATTGCCCTTTTATGCAATATGATTTATGAGCAGCAGCAGTGATCATATGCTGTAGATGAATATCATTGCATTAACATGCTGGCTATTTTTACACGTTCTGCCTTGTGTCTGTGGTCTGCAGTAGGTTATAATTGCATTTGCTACTACTAAAGAAATTATTTGATAAATAAACCTTTATTATTATAAACTTACTATTTTTATTATTATTATGATTGAATGCGTCCCATTGCAAAAAGATCCCTAAAATAGGAATCTTTTTTCCACTACTGTTATTGGTGATACTGTGAAAACTATTAAACAATAATATGGGACCTCTAATAAGATTTCAAAATGTATTTTTGCATGGTATCAACATATTACTATAGCTGCCACAGTTACTAGTTTAAATATAAATATAAAATATGGAGTCTTCATAAAATTTGATGTTTAGCCGTTTTAATGCAACAGCAATAAACTTGTAGTGGTATTTTGACATCAAATATGGCTGCCATTGTAAATGTATTTTATTAATGTTTACTGTTTTGCTTTTACAAAAAGTATGTCTTAACATTTACAAAACGAACTAGCCCAATGTTAGAAAAAAAATAGAAAAAAAGTATTTATTACTGCGTAATATTAATGAGCTGTTTATCTAACTATTACTTCCATTATGGGTCCTGTTGTATTGTTTTGTCCTTTTAACTTGCTTGATCCAGCTTTAGACTAGTAATTTAGCTAGATAGTTATGCATGAAAGCAAATCTCAAAAAAATAAAAATAAAATAAAAAATAATTGAATTATAAACCTTTTAATTTCATGTGATTTTAGAAAGGCAAGTTGTAAAATTCAGCTTTGTCCTTCCACTTCTCAAGTAATGAAAGATTTTATTGAAATGTAGTTGATGTGCTTGTTTCATTCATTCATGTTTTCCAAGCTGGATCTTTGACAACAGCTTTGCAGCAACTCTTCAGAGATTTGTTGTTTTGTCGTTTGCCTATTAGGCTTCCACGTGACTTGTATTTTTACCATGCTTGACTGATAATCTGTATCATAGCAGTGACCTGAGAGAAATCCAGTCTTCCACTTTTGTGTCTGTTTTGGGTTTTTTCTAACAAAACGTGATGCGGATGAGTGTGTCTTGTGAGACCAGGAGCCAGTAGTGTTTGCCTGTCCTTTGGTTTAATCTACTCCTTTTCAAAAAGGCCTTTTGATCTTTTTACCCCCCTTCACTGGGATTAACATGGTCATGTGTTGAACCTCTTATTGTGTACGTCTCCTGTCTGTCCCTTATCATATTCATATTCAGCTGGTCATGTTCCTCTCAGACGGGGTGGAACAGCTTTATGTCGGTAGCGTTTGTAATAGTTAACTCAAGGCAAGCTGCTGTTGCTGTGACAAATTACAAATGGCAAGTTCTGGAAAAAGAGTGGATTAAAGCTGTGTCGTTCTCGCCGTTGAGGGTAGCCAGACTCACTGTCTGTCTATATATGTGACTCGGCTGGGGCTTGTGGGAGAGTGAATGAGAGATGGACTCGGGTTATTCTGATGCCTGGCAGCGTCAGGGTCTGGCTGGCAGGTTTTGGCATTAGAGAAGTGGAAGTGTCGGCCAACGCAGCGAATTAAATTGTATTATGGTGACAGGACGGCCAGCCAATAAGATTTTCCTCCCACTTGTTCTTCTTCTGCTTACAGTCTTTCAGAAAAGTCAAAAAAAGCACATCTCAGTCTTGTTCTTTATTCTGGTTCTTCAATCTCCAGTAGTTCAGGGACTCGAGTCAACAGCAGCTGAGCATCTCTGGGCACCTGGACCCAGTCTGGCCCGTCTCCACCCTATGTGGGCAGTGTTCATTTTTCCTGGCTTCTTTTCAAGGAATTCCCTTGATGGCTTTTTCTGGCCTTTTGGCAGAACCAGCCGATGATACAGATGATTAGCTTGAGCATGTGTATGAAAGGTATTCTTACTCAGATTTTGGTGCCTAGAGGCCTTTTTTTAGTAACTCTTCTCTGCTATATCAATAACAGTTTCAGCTATATGAATTCACTCAATTAAAAAAGTCTTCTTACATTCTTACAAAGAAAATAGCCTACAGCTTGATGATTTACCAACGTCATATAATCCTCAAGGTCATATAAAAAAATTTTTTTTGTCTTTTGTTTTATGAGTGCACAAAAATCTCATTCCTAAAAAGCACCATTACATAGAGATAATTTTTTTATTATGAAAAAATGCAATACATATTTTAAAGTAAAAACATACAGTATACATATAAAATTATAAAAATGTTTATATAAATAAATAATATATAATATTTTATATATTTTTTTATCCTTTTTTTTTAATTTTTTTTTTATAAAACCATTACCATAATGGAATAAATAAATTTGGGGTTGGGAAGATTAAAAAAAACAACAACTTTGAAATAAGATTTTTATACTCACCAAGGCTGTGTTTATTTGATCAAAATACAGTAAAAACATTAACATTGTGAAATAATTAAAGCTGAATTTTCAGCAGACATTACTCCAGTTATCAATGTCGCGTGTTTTTTCAGAGATCTTTCAGATATGCTCATTTCGTGCTCAAAAAACATTTTTGTTAGCTGTGACAACTGCTTAATATTTTTAGGATTTCAGCATTCTTTGATGAGTAGAAAGTTCAAAGCATTTTTAAATCGAAATCTCTTGTAACATTTTATAACAAAACCATTGTTTTTATTAAAATATTTTATTATATATGTAATAAACTTTTATTATTAAAAAACATACTGAATGATTGTAGTAGTCTGTGATTATGAATTACGGTGATGGAAAGTGTCCGCTGGTCTCCTCTCCTGAACTGCAACTGTCCGATTGAAGCATTTAATTAAGATGTGTTTCTCTGTTTGCAGTGCACGGTTCAGGTAAAGCTTGAGCTGGGTCACAGGGCCCAGCTGAGGAAGAAGGTGACGTCAGAGGGCTTCACCCATGACTGGATGGTGTTTGTGCGAGGCCCTGAGAACAGCGACATTCAGCACTTTGTAGATAAAGTCGTCTTCCGGCTGCACGAGAGCTTTCCTAAACCCAAGAGGGGTAAATTTCACAACTTCACAAATGAGAAATTGCACCACGCACAGTTCAATCTTCAAAAACCAGCATGTCATAAGGAACAGCTTGCTTCTTTCTTTTAATATTTATAGTTAGGGTTGACTCACTATCAAAGTTTTGGCTTGGTAGCACACCAGCTTCTAGTACTTTGGCGTCGATACTCAATCAATACTTAAGGCTACAGATAAAAAGCCTCTAATGACTGGTGAAATGAAACTACTGTCAGCAGATTAAACATCAACCCATTTCACTTGTCACATGTCTTGGATTAACAGCGCTGGTTTTAGATCAAAGTTAGCATTTTATATTCACATTCCTTTATGATGACATGGATGGAGGGATATTTTGAATATGTGCCATATATATTAATCAGTTCTTTCACACTGTGTTTCAGTGAATCAGTTCAAAACACTGATTCCAAGATTTGTTTACAAAATTAATTTCTAGTTTGTGAAAATCAATTGGGTCATGCAGACGTTGCTTGGTAACCTTCCAGTCAAGTCATTTTAATAAATAATCATGAACTGTGTCTTCACCATAGTCAGATTCTCGAATTGGCAGCTGATCAGTGCACACTTAACAGCATGTGCCTTTCAACCAATCAGTTAGGCCTACTGAGTAAACATGATGTAACATAATTAATATTCATGAGCAAAGCCTTCATTTTCGTGTTTGTAAATGAAAGCTCAAATGAAAATGTGAGACACTTATTAATAATATTATGAAACATTAAATAATACTTAATGATCTATATATGAATACATACTGTTCAAAAGTTCAGGGGTGAGTAAGATTTTGTTGGAAAGAAATGATTGATTTTATTCAGCAAGGAAACATTAAATTGATCAAAAGTGACAGTAAAGACATTTGTAATGTTGCTAAAAAGATTTCTATTTTAAATAAACACTCTTCTTTTGAACTTTCTGTTTATCAAAGAATCCTGAAAAAAATGTATCACTGTTTCACAAAAATTGAAAAACACTGATAATAATAAGAAATGTTTCTTGAATACTTATTAAGATGATTTCTGAAGGATCATGTGACACTGAAAATTTACCATAAAATATTTTTAAAATACTTAAAATATATTTAAAATACAAAACAGTTATTTAAAATTGTTCAAATATTTCACTGTATTGCTGTTGTTTTGGATCAAATAAATGCAGCTTGGGTGTGAATAAGAGCCTTCTTTCAAAAACATTTTAAAATCTTACCAACCCCAAACTTTTGGATAGTGTATATAAGTATAAATAATTACATTCAAATATTTATGAATTTTATTGTTGTGTGCAGACATTTTTAGTGAAATAATTCATCTTTTTATTTTATTTGCAGTGTGTAAGGAGCCACCGTACAAGGTTGAGGAGTCGGGATATGCTGGTTTTCTGATGCCCATAGAGGTCTACTTCAAAAACAAGGTGAGGTAACTAAGTCTTCCTGCAGCTCTTTTGTCCTCTGTTGCTGTTCTCTCTTGTTCTGTAGTAATTTCTATTTTTTCACATTTTCATTCGCATACATCCTCCTCTCTCTCTGTGACTCATCTGAGTATCGGCTTCTCTTCCTCTGTCTTGTCATTTTTTAACTTCCCCCCCATTGACATTAAACAGGCAATGTAGAGTACAGTATGCAGAGGAGAATGATTTGCCTTGTGATCAAATTAGTATAATGCGAAACAATTACACTCTCTTTTTCAAACCCACCCACTGACTCACAGGCTTGTGACATGTATCTGTATCTGTCATTTCTTGTCTGAAAAACATCCCCAACCTTCAGTGAGTCTTGTTTTCCTGAGTTGTTTTCAGTAACTCACAGATTTCAGCATGCTGAGAGACAGAGATAAAAAGATAGAGGTGGAGAATGTGCGTCTGGGGGTTTGATTTGAAACTCTGATCTTTGTGGGTGTTTTGCCCTTAAATCTTGAATGAACCTCTGGCTGTGCTGCCCATGAAAGTAGTTCTAGAATCACTGCGGTTCCTGCTCTGTTGACTCACTTTAATGCTTGTTTTCAGTTGTTCAGTAATATGAGATGATTTAATGGAATCACTTAATAATGCAAATTTAATACAGGAGGAGCCAAAGAAGGTGTGCTTCAATTACGACCTCTTCCTTAACCTGGAGGGGAACCCACCTGTCAATCACTTGCGCTGTGAGAAACTAACCTTCAATAACCCCACTCGTGACTTCCGCCGCAAGCTGGTCAAGGCTGGAGGGGTGAGTGCTGCATTATGGGAAATGGAGTTGTTCGTTGCACAGTTAATTCAGGAATATTGTACATTTTTGGTGAATGTGCTCTTATCTTTCATTCATTCTGTACATATCAGATCATGGTGGTCCCAGAGGGGGCAGAGGTGGTCCCGAGACCCAGCCCAGATTACCCCATGCTTCCAACCATCCCTCTCTCTGCCTTTTCTGACCCTAAGAAGAGCAAGACCTCACAAGGATCAAAGGTCTGAAAAATAATTTTAAAATATGCCATATGACATGCTGAACGACGTGCTGTTGCCTTTTCTTTTTATACACTTGGGTCCAAAATTCTGAGATTGCATGGAAAATCTGTATTTTTTTTCTTTTAAACCTGGGGGGAAAAAAAACTGTTTTAGGATATTTTTTTACAAAACGGAGACAAAATTATAATTTAAAATGAAGAAGATATAATTCAGGGTCAGTATTTTTTTTATTTTTTGGAAAAAAATTAATACTTCTATTTAGCAAGGAAGAATTAATTTGATCAAAAGTGAGAACAAAGACATTTATAATGTTTAAAAAAAAAATTCAAATACTGTTCCTTTGAACTTTCTATTCATCAGTGAATCCTAAAAAATTGTGTGCATTTTGACAAAATATTAAGCAGATTGTTTTTAACTTTGATAATAATATGAAATGTTTCTTCAGCAGCAAATTAGCATATTAAAATAATTTCCGAAGGATTATGTGAAATTGAAGACTAGTTGGCTGCTGAAAATCCAGCTTTTCCATCACAGGAATAAATTACATTTTAAAATCTATTCAAATACAAAGTTTTTTTTTTTAATTGTAACAATATTTCAGAATATTTCTGTTTTCGCTGGGGTTTTTTTTTTCAATCAAATGAATGGAGCCTTGGTGAGCATAAGAGACTTCTTCAAAAACATGAAAAAATCCTACTAACCCCAAACTTTTGAACATAATTTTTCACTCAAATTATGTAATTCAGAAAATATAATTTGTAATACACAATTAATATCTGATAATAGATTCAGATAAAAGAGCGATATTAAAGGATCACAGCTTCCTCGATTCTCCCTTTTGTTTACTTCTAAGCAGCAGATTAGATCGTTTCAGTAAGAATTAAGAGTCCATTATATAGGACATGTGTCATCTCTCTATCTGAGCGCTGTTGCTTTGTCTGGGTCACTCTGCGGCATCTTTCATTAGTGCAGGAAAGAGGGTCAGTCGCTCGCTGCTGATTTACTGTGATCATCCAGAGCTGGACATCTTCCAGCATCCCCATTATCCTTAACAGTCCTAATCTTAGCACAGCCTCATTAATACAGCAGCTGACCTTTGTGTCAAGGTCACAGGCGAGTTATATGATCGCAGTTAAGACATGCTTTAATGGTCTTTTGTGATTATTTTATTATTAGGTGTCAAACTCTATGCTTAATCCTAATAGGGGATCTGTTGTGTGGTTGTATTTGACAATGTGAACCATGGTGACAGACGATAACAATATGGTACTGAATGATTATTATTTTAATATTGGGGTTATTCAAAATTACATATTTTCCAAAACGACTAGTTGGATTATTATTATGCATGTCCATACATGTCCGAAAATAAATACAACAGTGTGTATCATGACCTAAAACATAGTACTTTGTATTAATTTTTTGTAAGTGTACACTACCATTGAAAAGTTTGAGATCGGTAAGATTTTTTAAATATTTTTGAAAAAAGTCTCTGAAGCTCACCAAGTCTGCATTTATTTACTCAACAATATAGTAAAACAGTAATATTGTCAAATAATATTACAATTTACAATAACTGTTTTCTATTTGAATATATTTTAAAATTAAATTTATTTTCAGCAGCCTTTACTCCAGTCTTCAGTGTCACATGATTGTTCAAAAATCATTCTAATATGCTGATTTAGTGCTCAAAAACATTTCTGATTATTATCAATGTTAAAAAAAACCGCCTAATATTGTACTGCTTAATACGTTTCAGCATTTGAATAGAAAGTTCAAAAGAACAGCATTTTTTTTTATTAAAATATTTTGTAACAACAATTGTAAATATCTTTTCTGTCACATTTGATCACTTTAATGCATCCTTGCTGAATAAAAGTATTGATTTCTTTAAAAAAATATTAATGAACCCACATTTTTTAACAGAATTTTATTTTATTTTTTTTATGAAATGATGCAGCTGAATGATTAGGAATGCAATACTTATTACTGCTTTAGTTTTGCTGCAGTCAGTTCTTGGATAACTGACAAATTATATTAATATATATATATATATATATATATATATATAAAAATTCACTTAAAAACATTAAGTATCCTTTGCATTACACATTGGCAATGCTGTCAGCAGATTGTGACACTTGTCAGCTAATGCCAATAATCTTAAAATAAATACTGGCAACTTAATCTGCCTAAACTGATATATTCATCACTGAAATAAATGTCATAACTTTATAAGGCCT